TGTGCGTGATATGCGAGCACATCTTCATACAGACACGATTTCATTTAGTGTGCATAGTGATGCTTGCATAAACGTAAAAACGAGTAAAAAATAGAAAGGAATGAACAGGAGTATTGTTTTAGCCTATATTTCAGCCTTTTATATTCCACTGGTTTTTTTTTTTTTTTTTCATCGTTGAAGCTCAATTGTCTAAGAAGAATGACGAAGGCATTTTGTGTCACTGAAGACAGTGATTTTTTGACCAGATATTTTGGTATCTTCCCATAATTAAACATTTTTATGCTTGTGGTTCTCTTTGGTAACTTAATCTGACCAAAAGCATGACAGATTGTATTACGAATACTTCAATCTTTGACGAGGTTCAATTGTGGTGCTGAACAGGAATGTATACGATTTCACATACCAAAACACTTCTTTCTAGTTTTGTAGTTATAATATGGAATGAATACCTCTTCTATAGAATTTTCAAAATGTGAAATGCATATTTCTCTTTCCAAATTTTTTTATAAAATTGCTTGTGCTGTTTCATCATTATTTCTATTAATACATTTATTTTCTTTCTGACCGTATCTTGTTTGATAAACAAACATGATGACAAATTTGAATAACGGTCTCTTCAGCTACAGTCATAGACGTTTATTTCTTTAGATGAACGAGGGCGGACGTGTTGTTTTGTGTGGGCAGATAGCAGTTTATAACACGGACCTGCCGTATCCGCCGCCGCTTCCCGAAAAAACCGCACAAATTATCGCTGAGAGAAAGATCCTGAGGTGTGTTGTTGTTATTGTGATTAAAATTTTTTCCAGTCGTTCTCCTGTTCGGTAATTTTTTTTACGAATTTTTGATTTTGTCTAGCTTAAGAGCCTTGAATCGCTTTCAGATTTCCTGAATGCATTTTACGAATTTTTAATTTTGTTTAGCTTAAAAACTTTGAATCGCATTTTGGACTTCCTAGGTGCAGTAACTTGTCAGTAAGTTCCACTACTTATTACGTAAAAATATATATCTATAAGAATGTAAGGAAAATTTGAATGAAAATTTCCGGTTTTTCGTTTTCTGGTGCATCGTGTACTTGCGAATCATTTCTCGTCACTAAGAAAATACCGGTGCATATAGAGCATTGCACGACCAAAGGCTCTCTTAATCATATAATTTAGCTGAAAAATCAGTGGACAGAAGTTGCTCGATTCGGCTTGATTGTAAAACATTAGACTTGGCAAGACATAAAAGGACCGGTTGAATTTGACTGTTCCGTCGTAAAACAAGCACATTGCACGGTATAGCTTGCATATGGCATTCTTTTCGTTTCTCATTACTACTATACTTTTTTAGAGAAAGATTCATTGTGTTACAATATAAGGATGACATCGACACGTCTGTTGCGCAATTATCAGCATGGCTGCAAGAGAAAAAGTTGAAGGTTCCCCTTTTTTGTTGTTTTTTAGTTAATTTTTTTTTAAAGTTTCTGTCCATGAATTAAAAATTTTCCCCCTCTTCCGAGCATATTTATAATTTGGATGTAACTGTGCGAAATTCCATCAAATTTTCACCCAAATTGTAACTGCAGAACTGCACAAGTTGCACTATCTCTCTACCCGAAGCTTTCCAAACTTTCACATGAAAAAATGTAAATGAGCGGTTTAGAGGCATTCGCAAGGGTAAGTTAACATTTTAGTAGATTAGCTTTAGCTACCACATTACTACGTTCGTTTAGTGTTCGTCGAATGTGGTAGTTTTTTCACAAAATCAAATAATTAACATTCCGGCGCGAAACAACGACTAACATGGACCGTAAGCAGATTCTAATATTTTCATCAACCGCCCGAAGCTTACACAGTGCGACATGTTCCAGTTTTTACTGTCAGTGTAACCCTCTGTGTTGTCGGGAAGAGAGGACTCTTGAGGTTAGGCATAGTAAGCTGAAGAGTCAATAAAGAATCGAAAGGTGAAAAATAAATTACATATCGGGAACAGTGAGAGTGGGTTGCCCAAAACTCAGCTTCATATGTTTTTTTGAGGGTTGCTGTACCCTTTTATGTTACGTAGCTGGGGCAAGTGATGTCTCTGTTTTTGGAAGCCGAATTGACTCCTTATTTTGCTTTGAAGCCAAGTGTTTTGTACACTTAATGTAGTATTTCATCGTTGCAGAGCCGAGAGACAGTATATGAAGGTCTTGAACGGGCCCCGGAAGCGTTCATCGACCTGCTAAATGGTTGCAATATCGGCAAAATGATTGTCAAAGTGGACGACCCCTGAACTGAATACGGTTCCAGCCCTCTCTCCAGCCTGTGTTTCCCTTTGCGATTTTTTCTTCCCATTTATGTTAAGTAATATGTATAATGCCGAAGGTTCGATTCTGTAAATCGCTCTGCTGTTCGTTCATTCGTTTCGATGGTAACGAATTGGCATTAAGTAACTCTCGAAAGAAGGACCCGTCGAGTAACCCTGGAGAGAGGGATCGATTCGGACTATTCGAGTGTCTCCGCCTCTCACTAAGAGCGAGTACGGAAGATTTTTTTT